AACAACCACGGGTGCATTGATTGTGACTTGGTTCGAGATGCGTTTTCACGACGTTGCAATTCTTTAAAAAAAATAATAATAAAAGCATTTTAAACTTAATAAAAGCACATAAGTCATAACATGTATTTAAATTAGATATTTAGCCATTATAACAATTTAAGCGACCGTGCTAGAACCACGGGATTCGAGGGTGCCTAACACCTTCCCTCGGGTCAACAGAATTCCTTACTTAGAATTTCTGGTTCGCAGACTTCATTTGGAAAAGTCGAAAATTTCCTCGATTTGGGATTCAAGATAAACCGGTGACTTGGGACACCAAAAGCCAAACCTTTCCCAAGTGGCGACTCTGAATTAAATAAATAATCCCATTTCGAATATTGTCACTTAAATTGGAAAAACTCCCCTCGCGCATTTAACCCTTCGGGGCGGGCGCGCAAAAAGGAGGTGTGACAGGGACGACTAAGGCAGACATAGTGTGAAAGAGCGTCAGACCAAGTACATACCAAAGGTCCCATAACGATATATAGTAGGGGAAAACCTTCAGTAAAAGGGGCGCGGTTTTTCACTTCTATTTCTCTTCCTAGTTCTCTCTTCTGTAATCTTGATAACGAAAAGAAGAACGAAGTATTCTCCAAGAAAATATGTAAAATGGTATCCTCCATTGATTAATGGGAGCCATAACGAAAATTTCAATAAGATTGGTTACCTTTATCTCATCTCATGTATTATTTTTCCGATTAGTTTATTGATCTAGAGTTTATTATGGTTGAGTGAGATTTACCCCTTCATATTTTTTAATTGATTTATTCAAAAAGATTCCAATATCTTTTGAGTCAAATAAGTACCTCTCATTAGCACGGGTAGCGAATAACTCTAATCACTTGAGACAGAGCCTATGTTATCCTCTTCTCCAACAGTATTTTTATTTTTGGCATTCTTAATGGGATAAGATGCCTCCATAGCAATTCCACACTTGCCAGAATTTGTGTCTTTTACATTACGCTCCATTTTGATGTAGCCATCTTCTCCCCAATTGGTGTCCCATGAGTTCCTCACAATCCAATAGTCTACTCCTTTTTCCCTGTCATAGCCAACTACCACCACACCATGGTCCAATTCTGTTCCGCATTACCCGCTAAATATGCCTTGATGTCCGAAATATATACCAAAATTTTAAGGGGCATTTACATCTATACCCGTTTTTTGAGCCACGTTTTAACTTGTACCCGCTTTACAAAAAATATTGCAAACGTACCCTCTTTTTCGCATAACTTCAGCAGACGGGGCTGAAGTAACAAAGGCAATCACGCAAAACTTCAGCATTCTAGTAGCCGGGCCTGAAGTTCAGCTCTAGAGCTGAAGTTGTTTTTTGTAACTGTCGGACTTCAGCTCTAAAGCTGAAGTTTTTGTTTGTAACTGGCGAACTTAAGCTCTAGAACTGAAGTTTTTGTTTGTAAGCTTCAGCTCTAGAGCTGAAGTTTTTGTTTTGTAACTGTCAAACTTCAGCTCTAGAGCTGAAGTTTTTGTTTGTAGCTGGCGAACTTCAGCTCTAGAGCTGAAGTTTTAGTTTTTATAACTGGCAAACTTCAGCTCTAGAGCTGAAGTTTTTGTTTTGTAACTGTCGAACTTCAGCTCTAGAGCTGAAGTTATTTGGAAGCTAGCTTGAGAATAGGATCTGCTCAAATAAGCTGGGGATCCATCCATCAAACAACCTGTTAGTTTGTTAAAAATCTTTGGGGTAAAATCTCAGCACTGGGCTCAAGAATTTTTATGTGCTAGCATACTCAATTTAGCTTTACAAGAAACAACTTTCACCTTAATAATATTTATCAAAACAACCCCAAAAAAAAGAAGTAAATAAATACAAATTAATCATCCCTGATTGCGAGAACAAATAATGAGCTTCGTAATACGATTAAAATGCAAAGATGTCGTCACTTAACAATGGTATCTTGATAGTTTTCACTCACAAAAAGAACTATGGAAAATAATTTCTTTTTTAATCATATAAAGGTACAAAAGAAAGTTTTAACTTCTATGCACCAACAGTTTAAAAGAAATTTTACCTAAAAAATAATCTGCACCAACAGCAGAAGAAGAAAGAAGAAGAAAAGGAAGGAGGAGAATGAGGAGGAGAAAGGGGGCTGAAGTTATTTAAAAAGTGGGTACAAGTTAAAAGTTTTTTTAAAAAAATGGGTATATATTAAATGGGAGCGATCAAATAAGACGCCCCGTGCAATTTTTACGATTTTAAGTCAGTAAATATGAAGAATCGAAGTATTTACTATTTTGTGATGGCAGTTGCAAATCTATCATAAATATATAATTAGTATCTTTAAAAATTGTTCTCATGGTTCGTTTTTTATATTCTTTTTTTTTGTTTTGTTTCCGTAATTACAACAAAAGTTGAGTTAGTTTCACCTATCATCATTAAACTTTATGTACTATAATAGCCAAATTAAAAAAATTATTTTTTGTCATATCAAAGTTACAAAACTTTACACACTATAACAGTAAAATAAAAACTTTACATACTATAAGAAATAATAAACTAACTGAACTTTATCTAATATAATAGTAATTGAACTAAGATTTACCTAGTATAATTTATATTTTATAACAATAAATTCTATCATCAAGGTAATTTTATTGTTGTGTGAGGGCGGTTGAGAACTTATTACAAAAATTGGACATCAGATTATAAGGTCATGAATTACCGAGGAGTAAAGCTGAAAAGCCCTGCTGGAGGCATCAATGGCTACGCTAACAGGTTGATGTGCCACGGCCTTCTGAAGTGATTTTTCATTTGCAGGCACATCTTCATATCCATCTATGCTAACAACCTTTGCATTCTTCTGTAACATTTCAATAAAAACGAGTTTAACTTTGTATATAATATTTATACAATCAGGTCATCTAAAATTATTACTTGGAGGCTTAATAAAAATGGTCACTAATTTGTTATTACAGATTAAACTATACTGGTAACGTAAAAAAAATTATACTTAAAAGGAGCGGCCGAAGGAATTAACCTACCCGAACAAGATCACAAGTGTAGTCGATGCCCTTGTAGGGATAGTGAGTGTCAGTGTCAATACCATCATTGGAAATGATAAATTCAAAGGCATAGTCCATTAGCCCACCATCACAACCATCATTGTAAATTCTGTCACAATCTACTAATTCTTGCTCCGATAGAGTGATCATTTCTCCTGTTCTATCTGGTTTATGCCTTCTACTGCAGCCACTGTTGAGAAAGCCCAGCAGCTCCCTGTAAATACAATCCACAATCCAGGCACTTCTTTCAAAGGTCTACGTACGACCCTTGGATATTTCACATTTTATATATTATATTTTCAACACGCCATTCTTACGCGAGGGCTTGATTCTTTTTTTATAATGAGAGGCGGTCATGAGACTCGAACTCAGGACTATCTCTGTCTGCTTTGATACCATGTTGAAGTGTATGATTATTCCAACTAAAAGTTTAACTTTTAGCGAGAACATAATTTATACTTAACTATGTCTTCAACAACAATCTATTATATGTTACTCTCACTAACGAGAGCAACAACTACTGATGTTGGGGAAGCAAGCTAACTGAATTCTTATCTACTGCTAGTTTTATTCCGCTATAAATCACTACTAGAAAATAGGAATTAGCGATAGATTAGTGACAGATTTGTTAGCTACGAGCGATTTATCGACAAATCAACGACAAAGTTCATAGCTAATTTATTTTTTTATTTTTTTTGTAGTTAATGTATATAACAAATGCACATCTACGTACCAAAAGGTTACATCCTACACTTCTAGCAAGAAAGAATATTGACTGGAATAATAAAAAGTAGGAATACTCATTCAAAGAAAAAAGAGAAGGATGTACCACAACTTCATTGGTCCTTAATAGGAGCAACTGCGCCTTTCTTCCTCCAATCAACAGATTCAGGTAGATGCTCGTTAGCCCGAGAACCATAACGTTGGCTAGCGTTCTTGGACTTAACAAGGCGGCGCCTAGCACCACTCCTTGTACCCAAAAATATGGCCCTATATTCCTCGTTAGTGAGATCAGCAAACCGGTTCAATTCTAGCTCGTATGTGCGATTCTTGGAGTTATTATATTCACTAATAAACCTCAAATTATCTTTAAAAATCTCAAATCTTTTCCCCTTTTCTCGTAGCCCATTATATGTTTTCCCATGTTCCGCCAACCATATATCATATATACCCTTAACCTCCTCATCACTCGCCCAAATGTCGTTATTATTGTTGTTATTGTTGTAAGCATGTCAATTGCATTTGATAAGGACGCAAAGAAGATGAGGAGAATATATAGTGGTTACTACGACTATATACATAGTTGAAAGCGCAACGAAAAAATTAACAAAATGGGGAGACTAGTAAAGAATGTAAAGAGGCTTGACGAGTAAGTGAAGTGCCAATTTTTTAGCTTATAAAGATGAAAAACTGGAATAGTGGATATTTATTAGATTATCTTTGGCCAATTTATAAATATGTAAGGAAAACACTTGCATCATTTTTGTCAATTGGGTCTGCCAACTGATTTTCTATAAGAATGAACTGCCAAACCGCCAAACTGTCTTTCTTAACCAGTTTTAACAGTTTGGTGTTTGTAACTTGTAGATATTTGGACAATATTTGATTGAAGTAGAAGATGGAGTATTTGTGATTGAAGCAGAAAAAGAATACTTGGGAAGTATGTGTTTTTACATAATTTCGATCGATTGGAGAAAAAAAAAAATTGAGTTAAAAAATTATTATTTCACTTGAAATACTCTTCAAATAGTTTTCAACTTCAAAATTCTCTAATTTCTAGTTAAGTTGAAATAATAAGGAAATTTTCAAAAAAAAAATGATTTGCAACTAATATTTATGTTCAAACAGTTTTTATTTTCAGCCATGGAAAGAGGCTACGTGAAAAGATCACTTAGGGAATGCAAGATCTAAAGTTAATAGATTCAGTTAAATGAATAATGTATTACATGTGCACATTTTTAATTCGTATCAATAATTCGAGTCTAAAACATAATTAATTCATTTCACAAAACTCAACCTAGATTTTACTTTAAACTTAATATGTCATTTTTTTGTTTTTCATTAGGTGTCCGGTATCTATTTTGAGATTTCAACTAATTCGAATTTGGCCCATGTTAGATCCACAAAGGGGGAAGCGCATGTTCCCGATTAAAATCTTATAATTTTTATTTTTAAGAATCGAACTCGAAACCTCGAATTAAGAGCAAAAAGATCTTACCATCGTAAGCCTTGTTAGTAGTAATATATATATGAGAATATGAGATGGGCAAGTGACGGTATATCAGCCTGTCTCGATACTTCGGCTGGATCAGGTTTAGGAGTATAATTTTCTGCAACCATTTTTTTTTTTTTTTTTTTGAAAAATCGTCCTAGGGAAATAGCTTAGATTTATGGGTTTCAGTGAAGTCTTTGTTAATACGGCTCGATCTCATAGACAATAAGAGGTTGCCCTTTAAATATTTTTTTAAATGGTAGTGGACTCTCATGGTTGATTCATAACAAACGTTTGGAAGTGATGACATGAGGTAGATGCAAGAAGAAACGCCTACGAGAAAGAGTTTCATCTTTCTTTCCAATACCTAAAATTTTGAGTTTAATTTTCTGAATTTGCCCAGGGCGGCCCGACGAGTTTTGAAATATTTATTTATGTATTTGGAGTCTATTTTTCTACCTTTTCTTAGATACAAAGTTATTATTAATTTTTTTATAGTCAATAACTCCTAAAATAAGTCTTTCTTAATTGACAGCTAATCCATTTAACATTTTTTGAGACATTGTTAATCTTAGGTAAGATTATATCAATTTTAATTTTGAAAATTTCTTTCCATTGAAGCGACGATAACATGAGTTAATAACATTATTCCATAACCAATATAGGCATTGAAAAAAGAATCAAAACTTTTTATTTGACTGAGTGTATCAGTTAAACTGTTATCTTCTAATTGCACTATTTTTCTTAATACTTTTAATTCAAAAAATAAATTTAAACCATCAATATCGAATTGATTTATTATACTTTAAGGAGATTCAAGATTAATGTAATATTTTTTTGAAATTTTCATTATCCAGTGATCTTAATTTTTACCGCTAAATAGAAAACCAAAAATATTTTCATATGCTTCGAATTGTTCAAATCTATATATTTTGAAGTGAAAAAATAGTCTTGTCTTCTATGTATAGAGTAATCAACTTCAAAGGACTCCTCGAAGATTGAAATTTTGTTATCAACATGCTCATCAAATTGTTATTTCCTATATATAACACATTTTTTATGAAATTCAGGTTTAATATTCATTTCAAGTGCAATTTTCTTGGCAGAAATCATAGCGGTTGCAAATCCTTCTTTTTTATACTTGTTAAAGAAAGAAATCAAACTTTTTCACTTTACATAACCTTTTTTTTAAACTTATACATAGCCTATTAAGTGTAACAAAAAAATCGAACCCCCACAAATGTGGAGCCTAAAGTAATTATTTTACTTGCTTTATGAAAGTGACATGCATTTGCCCATAGATTTAATAAGGTGATAGCAATCTGTTTTGGTCTTAATGATAAGCTAGTATACTTAGTTATAAATTCTTGAACTGAAGAATAAGGTAACACCAATCTCATAACCTACTGGTCAATAGGGGTTACTTGGTGTAGCTTCAATTTTCACTTTGTATTGGTCAAAATCTGATCGTTGCGACCAAGTTGACCGACGTTCCGCCTAAATAATCGGGCAGTGAAAGTTAATATAGTCCAGTCTATTTCTCCTCCCTAACATCCGACGAGTCGGTAAGAGCAGCGTCTAAAAGCACGACTAAGACACATTGGAGGCAAGAGGACGTCGAGCCGAGCAAAGGGCAAGGGTGTCACGACTATATATAGTCAGGGAAAGCTTTCAACAAAGGGGGTTGCTTCTCATATATCCTTCTAAAGCTAAAATGCTCTCTTCTAGTTTTCTTGATTGAAAAGAGTGAATCTCTAAGAAAACATGTAAAGCGGTCTCCTCATCGATTGATGGGAGATACAATGTTGAATCTCAATAAGATCATGTACATTTCCTTCATCCTAAGTATGATCCGCACTCCTAGCTCTTTGATCTGGAATTTATTATGTCTGACTAAGATTTACCCCTTCAACTTTGATTGATTTGTTCAAAAAGGTTTCAATATCTTTTGAGTCAAACAATTTGGCGTCGTCTGTGGGGATTTCTTAGTGAAATTTCCTAGTCTCTCCCAGATCAAAGACAAGAAATACAATCACTCACCAAAAGGAGCGCAAAGGGAAAATCCAACCCACACAAGACAAAGGAGCAGCGCAGTAGGGGAAGGAGAGCCGAGCGAAATTATCAAGTTTAGAAACTGTGATGACCCAAAAGGTCATCACTTGTTTTAGAAATGAATCCTGCGTTCCGAGGCCATAAAAATCTCGTTCAGTATCACTTCGATTTGCGTGCGCAGTCCGGGCGTGTAGTCGGAAAGCCAATATGTGAATTTTTTTGAAAAATGACGAATTTTGACTTTAAAATGAATTTAAGTAGACTTCGGTCAACATTTTGGGTAAATGGACCCGGACCCATGATTTGATAGTCCCGGAGGGTCCAAAGAAAAATATGGGACTTGGGCATATGTCCAAAATAGAATTCCGAGGTCCCAAGCCCGAGAAATGAATTTTTTAAATAAAATTATTTTCTGGAATTATTTATGAGTTTGGAAATGAAATGGGTTTAAAATTTGATTGTATTGGGCCCGTATTATGGTTCCGGAGCCTTGTACAGGTCTTATATGTGGTTTAAGTCAAGTCTGTAAAATTTGGTAAGAAACGGACTTGAAATGACGTGAATCGGACCGTATTTGAGAAAATTGGAAAATTTGAAGTTCTTAAGTGATTTCACGATTTTGATACTAAATTCATAGTTAGTGATGTTATTTTCGCGATTTGATTACACGAGTAAGTCCATAGGGTGTTTTTGAGGTAGTGTACTTGTTTGGTATGGAGCCCCGAGGGCTCGGGTGAGTTTCGGATAGGTCTCGGAAGGTTTTTGAACTTAGGAAAATTGCAAAAACTGTTGTCTGTTGGTATCCAGGTTCTTGTGTTATGCGATCGCCTAGGAAGGTTCGCGATCGCATAGTGTAAATTTCAGGGGGTCCTATTTTGTGCTATGCAATCGCATAGCTCCTTCCGCGATCGCGTAGAGTAAATTCTGGGGGGTCACCAATTGTTCTATGCGATTGCATTGCTTCATCCGCTATCGCAATGGGTTAAACCAAGCCGGGGAAGGGAATCATTTTTCTTCTATGCAATCGCACATCCTAGTCCGCAATCG